CTCTAAATTAAATTATTTTTAAATATGTAATATATATATATGGGTTGAAAATGATTTTAATATGAGGTAATTATGTTAGAAAATACTTTACAATTTCATCACTTACTATTAGACATGTTTTCTAGCGATAAAATGGCTCAATGTCAATTTTTCCATTAAGGGGTTGTTTACACCCCTTAAAAATAATAGGCGGAGTTCAGATCATTTTCACTTTTGAAGTTAAGGGTAAGATGAGCCTAATTCCAAAATTTCATGCAAATCGGTTCACAGTAAAAAAATTCGGAGGTAAGGCCGTATTTTTCGCTTCAATGACTGCACTATACAGGGTTACAGGGAAAGTCGTACTGAATATTGAAGGACGTTATTATTCAGGTCATTTCTGATGGATTTGGTCCCATAATATGGTGTCCAAAACTTAACCCTTATGGAGATATTGGATATTAAATATTTTTTTTAAAAATCCTATATTTTTTGGGTTACTGTCGATTTTTTGAAATTAGAGCTCCAAGGGTCCGATTTTTTAATGAATCTAGTTAGATGACATGTCAAGCAATAAAAATAATGAATAAAAACTGAACTTACTTCTAACGGCTTAAAAAAACTGCTCGACAACTAAAGAATTTTCACCAAGTGTTGTTAACTTTGAAGCGCTTTCCTAAAAAAACATGTATGGAACTTATTCTGCAAAAAAATTTAAAAACTTCTACGTCTCTTTAGCTATTCAAAAAGGTATAACACTTGCTATTAAATTGGCAAAACATTGACCAAATAACAGTTATGGTAGCAGAGGGTACATTTTTAGTTTGAGGTAAAAATAGCAAAAATACATAAATAAAACCAGAAAAGCATCATCATCATCATCACCAGCCTATTAATGTCCCCACTGCTGAGGCACAGGCCTTCCCTATTGATGGAATAGGGAGATTGGGCCATGAGCCACCACGCGGGCCCAGTGCGGATTGGTGGGTGCTAACGACTGCAGATGCGGCTGGAACCAACGGCTTAACGTGCCTTCCGAAGCATGGAGGAGCTCGAGATAGTAATTTTTGGTCACCCATCCAATGTGACCGACCACTGCGAAAGTTGCTTAAGTTCAACGATCGCAGCCGAACGCGCTAACTACTTGCGCCATCGAGCTGCTCAAAGCAATAGCTAAAGAGACGTAGAAGTTTTTAAAATTATTTGCAGAATAAGTTTCATACATTTCTATTTAGAAAAGTGCTTCAAAGTTAAGAACACTTGGTGAAAATTCTTTAGTTATAAACGTTGTCGAGCAGTTTTTTTAAGCCGTTAGAAGTAGGTTCAATTTTTATATTATTGCTTGACATGTCTTCTAACTAGATACATTAAAAAATCGGACCTTTGGAGCTCTAGTTTCAAAAAAATCGACAAAAACCCAAAAAATATAGGATTTTTTAAAAAAATCTTCAATATCCAATATCTCCATAACGGTTAAGTTTCGGACACCATATTATAGGACCAAATCCATCAGAAATGACCTGAATAATAACGTTCTTTAATATTCAGTACGACTTTCCCTGTAACCCTGTATATATACTAGCTGTCCCAGCGAACTTAGTACCGCCATAAAAAATAGGGGTTGCTGGTAGAAGGGTGAAAATTAAGGTAGTATATATTTTTGTATGATGTATCATAAAAAAATAAAAATAAAAAAATTAAGGTTGGACCACCCTTAACATTTAGGGGGATGAAAAATAGATGTTGTCCGATTCTCAGACCTACTGAATATGCATATAAAATTTCACGAAAATCGGTCGAGCCGTTTCGGAGTAGTTCAATTCCGCACACTGTGACACGAGAATTTAATATATAAGATATATTTTGGAAGTCTTACTTTGAATTTGTCGGACAGAATCAAATTTAAAGGGATTATGACTATATTTTCTACTTTAAAAACAAATAAGACCTATTATTAATTTATTAGACTTTCACACTTTTATGTTAAGAACTTTTTTCGTAACACTTAACAATTTCATCATAATTTGCAGTTTTGTTATTACAATCTAAGAATTCTTCATAGTGATTCACCATAATTGTTTTTATTATGGGAATAGTCATGTTTTCGAGACTTCTACATAAGTCCGCCACCGTTGTTTTCATAGCGACAGTCAAAGACTCTAGTCCTAATTTTATATTATTTTCCATCTCAGTACTTTCGTCATAACTCCATTCTGTAACATTATCTGTGTTATTTCTTTCTGCAGTTACATCAATCCCGTTTCTGGGATCTTCGTCTAGAAAGCTAATTTCTTTTTTGTTTCTTGAGGACAATATTTTATTTAACAGTGTGGTAAATCTCCGGTTAGGTGTCTTTGAGAGATCATTAAAATAGTTAGCCGCTTTTATTTTTGTTGAATTTGGCGCCCTACTTGGTATTCCAAATATCGGAATATGTAGTGTTAATCCAAAATTATCGAACAAATATTCTATCCAGTATGTGTAGTATAATATGAGAATGAGAACGACAAATAAAGTGAAAAGAGTAATACAACCAGTAGAATTTTTAGGTGGGTAGCAAGTTGGTGTACATAGATCTGTACAGAAGCATTTAGTAACACAAATATAAGTGCAGCAGATTGGTATAAGAGATAATAAATTGAAACATGAAGATATGTAAGTGTATATTGCATTGATGACCATCCGTAAGATATCTTCAAATGCCAAAAGTATAGTCATAAGGAGCCTTGTTAACATTTGTAACATACACATTAAGGGCATAAACAGAGTCCTGCACATTTTCTATATAAATACTTGGAACTTGTCTAACAATATTGTTTTCAATTATTTCCTTTTTTCCCCTGTTTCAGATCTTTTTCTTCACATTTTTTAATACTTTTGTATTTAGCTTTTTTTATATTTTAGGAATTTTCGTATAAAATAATCTGAATCAAATTTACATTATACCTAATCTATATAAAGTGTCAAGCTGTGTCACTTTTTTCGTTTAGCAAAGCTTCCAACTTGAATCCTTGGACGAAGAATTTAGCTATTAGGTCTATGGCTATTTTGTCCTTCAAAGCGAAGGCCGGTGTATGCCTGTATGTTCGGGCGGATGTTTGTTGTCGCCGTCTCCGCTGCTTGGCAGATCCCTCCTTCTCCATGTTAGGGGTACACGTCGACTCAGGTCCCTAGGCCAGAGTCTACGTGTGCTTCTACAGATCCCATACTGGCGATGTTGAGATAACTCGACTTTTCGAACATCTTAGTCGGGCAGCAGATCATGCGCAGGAGCATTGGGACGGTATGCGTGACTACTTTGCGTCCGTCTCTTGGAAGCAGCGCTGCTTCAGTGACAAGGAGATTGTAATGGATATGGAGTACTATATTCCAAATATAAAGCAGCTATTAGGTGTCTTAAGACTCAATCATCCAGTGGACCTGATGTTATTCCGATTTTTTTGGTCAAGAATTGCATATCCACTCTTAAGGCTCATTATAAGGACATAATAATAAGGACAGGATATAATATAATACTATAAGGACAATGTTGTTACTATAAGGACAATGTTTATTTCCCAATATGTGCGCCAACCCCAGCTCGCGTCTTTTGTGCTATTGGACACTGACCCCATCGAAGTACATGAAGTTCTCATGAGTTTAAAAACTGATAGCGCTTCTGGTTTTGACCGCATTCCAATTAGATTTCTCAAGCTGGCTAGACACGTTCTGATTCCTGTCATCTCTCATCTGGTCAACACTTGCTTCAGTCGGGGTGTTTTTCCAACCTTATTGAAACAAGCTATCATTACCCCGATCCACAAGGGTGGGGACCGAGGGGATGTCAATAATTACAGACCAATCTCTGTGTTGCCTTCATTGTCCAAAATACTAGAAAAATTAATCAACAAACGACTTAAAGAATATCTAAAGAAATATAATATTTTATCAAAATCACAATATGGATTTCAAACTGGAAAATCCACCCAGGATGCTGTTATAGCTATGACTTCTCTGATTACTGACCAGTTGGACAATGGAGGCAAATGTTTATCTGTATACCTAGACCTAAAAAAGGCATTTGATACTGTCTCTGTCCCCATTCTTGTGCAGAAATTAGAAAATATTGGAATAAGAGGCACCCCCCTGAACTTGTTTAAAAGCTATCTGAGTGAACGCAGACAGAGTGTACGGGTGGGACACGTCGTGAGTGAAGAAGTTGACATAACATTTGGTGTGCCCCAGGGTTCGGTTATTGGGCCGACACTATTTCTCATTTACTTAAATGACCTCTGCAACATACAGCTTAATAATACTACGGTGTTTTCTTATGCTGACGACACTGCCATAGTGATAACAGGAAAATCATGGGATTTCATAAAAAAGGATGCAGAATCGGGACTTGCTATCATTGGACTTTGGCTTAGACATAACTTACTGACACTAAATGCTCTAAAAACTAACTTCATGTGCTTTACAATTAATAATAAAACACAACCACATTGTGATTATAATCTTAAAATACATAATTGCACCAGTCATAATAATACTAATTGTAGTTGCCCTGGTATTAATATGGTGAGCTCAACTAAATATTTAGGAATCATGATTGATAATAGACTCTCCTGGCACTCCCAAATTGACGTTATAGCAAGCAGAATAAGGAAGCTGATTTGGATATTTAAGAACCATCGGCATTGCTGTAGTCAAGACCTTCTTAAAAAAATCTATGTTGCATTAGCACAATCAATCATGATCTATTGCATTCCAGTTTGGGGTGGAGCATCTAAGGTAAAATTATTAGAGGCAGAACGCGCACAGAGGTTGCTTCTTAAAATTATGTTCTTCAAAAAACTAAGATTCTCAACTCAGTTACTATACTCACTGACTAATTTACTAACAATTCGACAACTTTATATTTTGCATACCATATTAAAAAAACACAAATCCCTACCGCTAGATTCATTTATTTTAACCAAAAGAAGGAAAGACATCGTAGCCAAGACCAGCAATTGTAAAACGCAGTTTGCAAATCACCTGTACAAAAATCGATCATCTCACCTTTATAACTCCGTAAACAAGATTCTGAACATTTATTTAAAGACAAATTTCGAAAACAAGCAACTGCTTACCGACTGGCTGACAACTCTTAGTTATGAGGATACTGAAAGCTTAATAATTAAGTAGTTTCAACTTTACCACACTGAATAGGATAAACAGTTTGCAAGTACACATAATTGTAGTAAACATGTACGACTTACTATTAGCATATGTATTGTTTGTATGTTCTTATTCTGCACTGGCTGTATTTTACATAACCACTTCAAGCTATGTGAGAATGGCTTTCCCTGGCACAAGTGTTCTTACACTTAAAAGGGGAATCCAACTCCTATTATTGTAACATTCTTTATGTAAGTAATAAACATTTTTTCATTTTTTCATTCATTTTTTCATTTTCACAATGTATTTATTTATAATTAAAATGGTATGACATTATTTATTCATTGGCATATTTGACATTATTTGTTCTCAGTTGACATCAGATATGATATTATTGTTTTATTGATTTGAAATAATCATTTATTTTATTATAATATTAACTTATAATATTTTTACAATGAGCGATTTGACTTTGTTTCTATTACTATTTGATATTACTTATCTATTAGACATAACTGTTTCTTTTTGTTATCTTTTTTGTTTTTCTTAATTTTATTGAATAGGGTATTTGTCAGTGTTAAAAACAAAGTGACAATTGTTAGCATCTGTGTTTAGAATGAATATTGGCAGGGGTTTTTACTATTTTTACAAAAAAAATATTCATAATTTTACTAAAATCTAACGAAAAAGGTAATAGTCTTCTTATCTACTCGTATTGTCACGTGACCCAAAACGCTTTTGATTGGCGGAGTCTAAAATGACGTCACACGCAAGTAAACTTCCGGTTAAAGTGACATTACATTGTATCGTTTGACGTTTTAATAACAGTCGTGTGACGTCACACACTAGTAAGAAGCCGTTTTGTCCAGAGAAATGTTTTCGCGGTAACTAGAAAATGGAGTTTTTGATTTGGTTATTTTTACTTAAATATACAACAGAATGATAAATATCCACTTTTACGGAGTCCATAAACATTAGTCAATAACGTGAGATCGTTTTCTAAAACTTGTCAAATACCCTATTGAATGAGAATACCTTCTATGAATGTAAATGTTTTTATGTATGACTTGCTCGCGTTTTGGTCTTTTCTGTAAGCCTGCATGTGTAACTTAAATATAAATATAAAGAAACTGTATAGCGCTTAGGAATAATTTCAACCATGGGCCAGTCAATCGGTCTATTGAACCATAGAATGATCCAAACTGTACTACGGCCAACAAACGCATATTTGTATGGAACCCTCGGTGAGAGAGTACCGACTCGCACTTGTCCGTTTTTTTAGATTAAATAACTTCTGGACAGGAAAATACCAGTAGGACAACTGGGAAAACTACTCGATTACTAGGAAAATAGTTATCTTCGGGCGATTATTGTTATAATAATAAACCCTCTAGTATGGTGTCGACAGTACAACGAACATGTTATAATAAAATATCGAATGCTAAACACTATAACTTCTGACTGCGCGTCAAGCTTAGCGCTCTTGCATTGCGCAGTCGGGTAATAAAAGCACAAATGGCAAAAATGTTAATATATTAAGAATTTCAAAATTCACGACTAGCAAATGACAGACATTCACATCAAACAAAACACACAGTAATCGATTTTCGTAAAAAACCCAAGAACATTGGATATTCACACTAAATAGTAGACCACGGTGGTCCATTTCCTAGTCGACATTTTCTTCGGCCTACGCAAACGCCGGCGTGCACCCGCTCTCATTCGAGGCGCGGGGCTCTGTTTGGTAGTGCTGTTTGACATCGTAGTCGTATCCTCTCCCAGCAACGTGTAATAATGCCAATAATGGTCGTCCGTCGTCGACGTACTCTCGTCGTCACTGTCGTAATAGAGGATCTCCTCGGTCGGCCCAGTGGTCGTGGTCTCGGTAGTGCTGATCTCGTACTCCTCCGTAGTTTCCGTGTCGTTCCTCGAGCATTCCGTGATATCTCCTGGCGTGGGGACGAATTTGACCGCTTGCGGCCTAGCTTTCGTGTAGCCTATGCTGTAGAAGATTTTGTCTAGAACTCCCGTGGCACGGAAAATGAAGAACAGGATGACGATGGCGATAAAGGACATGAGACAGTCGCAAGTCCCGCCTCTCGCGACGGGGCAAGCACCGCCGCCGCCGCACATGAAACATTTCAGACGTGCCGTGAGCAGGAACACCAAGCAGATGGGTATCAACGATATCATTTGCATCATGAAGGATATGAAGTTGTACATCGTTTGCAGCACCATTCGTATGACGTTCTCTATCATGAGGATGATGGTCATGAAGACCCTCACCAACATCTGGATGCCGCATATTACGGTCTGCAATAACGCGTGCACCGTCCGACACATCTTGATTTTTGTTCTGTGAAAAAACAAAGATGAGGCGTAATGTATTATATATATATTTTATATTTTTTATATAAGAGAGGAAACAAATTACTCTGCCCCGCCTGTTGTTGAGTGTAAATGGACTCAGTCGTGAAGATAGCTGACGCGGCAGGTGTGCCGCTCGAACCATCCTCACCTTGCTGGGTTGAACTGATTTTTACCCTACCCCGCGGAACCCTAAAAGGTAGTGTTATTTTTCTGTGGTCTTCTGTAAGTTGGAGGTTGCTTCCCCAGACGGGTGCTCCAATTCGAACGGAAAATCCGATGTGACCTACATCTATTAACTTTTTACTTAGACACAAAAATATTTGTTGATTTTCTTTCTTGGACACACGACGACCTTTAAGTATAAGGGTGAAGCCAAACGAGCGTAATTTTGTGAGTTGTGAGTCGTTTATTTTCGGTCACTTATTTTACGTTCAACTGAATTTCTGTTGAGCTGCCATACGAACGTAATTTATTCAGTTACTATTGAGCGTTAGTACGGGGTGTTCGTGTCGTCGAGCGCAATGGATCTATTAAAAATATTGTGTATTTACGAAGCATATTCAGAAGATGGGGCCAGAAAAAGAAACTGGGTAAACCCACTGAATAGTCAGAGGCTGATATGTGGACAGTTCCATACTTTATATGAACGTTTATGTGCAAATCCAGATATGTTTGAAAAGTACTACCATATGCCATTACGTGTTTTTCAAGAATTATTACACCACGCAACTTGTAACAAACTGTTGCTTCCCCACTCCCCTTCCTTGCCCTACCCTCGCCCCGACCGAAATTCGGACGAGCTTATGCGCATTGAGTCGGCAGACAAATCATTTTGCGTTGTCGTGTGGCACCAACTGCCTTTTTGTATGAAACCGAATGCAGCAGAATTTCTGCGACCGAAATTCTGCGACTCACCACTCACAAAATTACGCTCGTTTGGCCTCACCCTAACACTCCCCAAACAAAGCTTCTTGCTAGCTAAAGCTTGAACAATGGGCACTAGCTAACGTATAATCATAATTACTAAATACATTTAAACAAATTTGCCTCTTTGGGGCTGCCAAACCTGAAGCAGGGCCGCTGTATGTTGCTTCACTAACCACTAGGCAAAGCCGTCGACACAAGAGTGAATTTCGATGGGACGGAACACGAACCTTTCACTTTGCAGGAGACTAACTCTTCCTCTATCGGTCGTGGGTTAAAGTCCCTATTGATGTCAATTGAGCCAACAATTTCTCCCAAGTCCTAATAATCATAGTTAAAATGTATTTGACCATCTTAACAACTTACTTGTACTGTCCTCGGAAACTACAGAGCCAGTTGCAATGGCTAGAGAACTAGCTTTTGGTCTTTCTTCTTCTCATTTAAAAGATGTATATTTCCGTACAAGAAGGCAATAAATAAATAGTAATTTGGAAAAAATGTTACAAAAAATTACAAAGAGACAAAAACTGCCAGGCACTGACATATCTCATGTTCGTTTGATTTTTACTAGCGAAAAAGAAAGAGTATCTTGAAGAAAAGAACTTTTTGACTTGGCTGTATGGCGCATTTTGTCGTCTATGCCTTTTCCGTTTAATGAACGGAGAACAGAACCAAAAAAAAGTAAAGGTTGAAAAAAAATTAATAAGGAACATTAATACTAACTGGAATGCTTACGCGATCCTCAAAATCGTTCCAAGAGCATAGCTGAATTGGTGGAATCTGTCTCGTTCTAGTAACTACTGTGCCCAAACAGTTGCAAGAGAGGGACAGATTCCACTTTCGTCCTGTCGCGCTAGGAGTATTTTTCCCCCTTATGAAGATAGAAATAAAAATTGACTTTATTTATGTATAACAAGTTAGAGTACATTTTTTGAATTCCCATACTGTTTCGTAAGCATTACAGTTAGTATATAAGTTCCTTGATATATATCACGGAGCACCCCCACTAGAGTCCGCATACAAGGGCAAGCGCTTACGCCAAGCTTAAGTAGTATTTTACCTATGCGTGAGGCACGCCTACAGACGTCGCGATACATCGTTTCATTCGGTAACCGAGCGTTGGTCGAAATGCTTCTCTCGTTTTCGTGTTAAAAAACTGTAAAAAATGCCGTACTGTGCAATTAAATTGTGTGGAAAGTCGAGTACAACTTCCAGTCTTACAAAAATGGTATTACTTTTCACTGGTTAGTTTAAATGCATTACAAAAAGACAAAAATACTGTTATATTAAATTGGTGTTAATTGTATTTATTTTTTGGTGAACGCGTTGATGTCTTTTTACACTATCCCTTTCTCGCATGAGCTACATCATATATGCTATCTCGCTTTCACACCGGCACGTGTATTGCTAGTGACTCAGACGCAGCTCATGTCTCAACGCGTAAGTTTATCGATAAGTTTGTCAGCTATGGAAATTGAAAAAATAAATAAAAACTATTTATTTCACCGTATACAATAATAGATGTCATGAGTATACAACCAACAGTTTTTATTTGACTTCAAACATATCCTAATAAAATTGAAAAAACGCGAAAATTTGTATGCATATTTGTTACTCTTTCACGTTAAAACGGTTAAACGGATTTGTATGAAATTAAGTGCGCATAGTTTATGACCTAGATAAAGACATAGAATTAACGATATTAAATACCCTAGAAACACCACGAGCGCTCAAAATGTGTCCCCATCAAGAAGTACTTGAACTCCACTCAATTGCGGACCGTTGAAAAGTCAAGATACCAAAGAGTTCCGTGAAAAAATACAGAAAAATACTAATAATACGTAAAGTGTCGTCTTTGCGACGGGTAGCTAATTAATGTTTTTTAATTAACGCCTTTAAAGCAAATTTTATTGTTGTAATACTTACTATAAACTGATTTAATATAAAATATTTGTGATATTCAAATGCATGGTCAGTTATACGATCTGTACCTGCTATATTGCTAACAGCGCATTCAGAATTGCGCGCGAAAAGACAAAAAAAATAAGGTCTATATTCTTTTACACATAACAATAAATCGTAAAATTTTACGAACTTGACGCGTGCATTTTAATTAAGACCTTATGCCGTATGCATTAAAGGTGACTTTTTAATGTTTAAATAAGGTATTATATTGTTTTTGACCACGCGATCATTTTACGGACCTCCGCGGATCGTCCAATGTACCTTTTGGACACGTTTCGGCCACGATTTTGTTCGTGTTGTTCTATCTAGGGTAGTTAATATCGTTGCATTAATACTTCTTGTCCTGGGCGTGTTTTTTTTTGTGTTGCTTATATATAATTTAGTATGTAGTTACTAGTCGCGTCATGTAATTAGAACGCTGGAAGAAAGTGGAGAGGGTATGATTACGCATTTGCTTACACTCGCGCACTAAAGTACTAGGCCTCTATTCTAAATTGTTTATCGATAGAAAATATCGATATTTTCTAAAATCGATCTTACCCTCATCACTTCGCTGCACTGAGTATATGATCTGACCTTGACGCGTCCAATCACAGCGGGACCTCCCTGCACCCCACCGACTTTGGCGATTTTGATTCCAAACTAAATTTGTGTGATGCGGCCTCTAGTGGGGTTGCTCCATGATATATATACACGAGTAGACGAGCGCAAGAACTGTCTTCATAAGGTCGATTTATATCAGACGAGCGAATGCTCATTCTATCCTTATTTCATAAAATTTTCTAGTAAAAACATGTGTGGTGCATCTTTTCATTGTTCTGTCTGCGTTCACAAAGATTCTACGGAATATTCTAAAGCGGCCTACTGACATCCCTGCCGCAGGGACAATCTAGGGTGCACGGCGATCGGGGCAATATCGGCGTGTCTCTACACACATGCCTGCTATTCAGTTTTCGGGGGTATGTTGAGCTAAACACACGCGTTGATGATAGTCCCAGTGTTATCAAAAAATCAGAAAATCGGTAGGTCCCCTTGGAAAATAAGAAAATATTACAAGAACAAAAAAAACTAATAATATTTTCTTTAGATATAAACAACGAGCAGTTACATGCTTAAAAAAAATATATATAAATAATGTTTGTTTTTTTATACCACATGTGGGGCCGGTCTTTATATACTTCTATTACTCGAGACCAAATTTCATGATCATTATGATCTGCTGCCATCTTGATCAAAATACGTAGTCTCCGTGTGACAGTTACCAACCAAATGATTGTGAAATTGCCCCGATCGCGCTACATACGCGGCAACGTGCAAGGCGGCAGGGACAATCTAGGGACCAAGGGTAATCTCGCGCTCCTGCCGCCCTGCCGCAGGCCCGATTTAGAAAATTGCCCCTGCTTTTTTTTGTGTTTAATATTTATTATTTATTCACGAAAGATATTACTCGAATTCGGGTACCAGTAGCAATATTTACATTGATTTTACTCGAATACGAGCTGAAAGACGGCGTCGGGTAACCAAAACCAAAACTACTAGAATACGGGCGTAGGTACTCGACTCCGTTCATTTACTCTTAGTCGTTTGTCCAAATTCCATAGGCAATTTATAGTATTCGGGCTAACGACCAAATGTGATTGCACAATAGAGCCTTCTGTCTCTTCAAAGCGTTCTTTTGTTCCAGCGATATACGTCATACCTACCGATTCAATTAAGGATTAGTCTCAAGAAAAATGTCTATTAATGTTAGAAGCCTACGTAAGTTTTAATTCCAGATGGTTGTGGGATCAGACTTTTGAACATTATAAAAATACAACCCTCAAACTACATGCTTGCCAGGAAATAGCAAACTACTAGATTGTAATGTCGAAGAAGCGCAAAATAAAGATGGTCTGGCTTCTTGAATCTTATCACCGAGAAAGGAAACACAAGGACTACTAAAATAGGCAGCGGTGCCGACTGCAGTCAGAGATGGAAATAGCTAAGCACTACGTACTAACCACAAAATTGACATAAATGAGCAATGAGCATTCGTTCGGCACAAGAATTCTAGTTCTTGGTTATATTAGCTTCTTGTTATTTTTGTTAAAACATGCGCAAGCAATTGACAATAGGGGTGATGACGGGGTACAGTAAAAGAAATTCTATTTAGTCCGTCAGTTAGGTGATCAAAAAATAATGGACACGTATTTTTTCTTTGGGCAATCAACCAAAAAATGACAAAGTTATAGCGCATCAAAGTTTGGGAGTAGGGGCTCGTGACGTCACTTTTGAGTAAAAATTGTACTTGTTTAATTGTAAAAAGTGACGTCATGCAAATTTTCAAATCAATATATCTCTGCAATGTTTATATTATGTGAAAAAAGGAAAAAATACGTGCCCAATACTTTTTGATAATCTACCTGATAAACGAAGAAAAAAAATAAGTATCATCATCCCTATTATTTTGTCCGAATGAGGAGAAGTAGGGAAGCCCAAGAGGGAATTTTAGGATTTACTCGAGCGCTGTAGTATACCTATATTATCTATAATAATATAGGTATAGCAATGATAGGCTTGAAATAAAAATATAATAATCATGTCAATTCTCTAACAAAAATACTACAATATTTTGGAACATTCTTTATGATTGCAATAGGTAATGATCATGGGCTTAGCTAGGGGGAGCAAGACTACCCAAGAAGCTTTCATCATCAACTTTTAATGTCCTCATTGCTGGGGTACAGGCCTTCCCTATGGATGGAATAGGGAGTTTGGGCCATGACCCACCACGCAGGCCCAGAAGAAGAACAAGAAGAAGCTTAACAATACATATTATTTACCTATATTTACTTCAATATTAAGTGCGATTTTCCACAACATCACATTTCTTAGAAATTACGCCTGGGAAATTCACTTGACCTAAAAACATAAAATACAATCAAAACGGCGTGCGGCTTTTTCATATAAATAATTAACAAAATAGAGTGAAAAAAAAAAATATACGTCGGATTATCTAATGGCGGCAAGTCAGGCAAGCTGCTATGACTGCCATCTGGGGGAAAACCTTCAGGTTCCAGCAAGCCGGGTCCGTAATCACTCGCCGAGGCGTCCTCAGCGTCGGTGACGGCAGCTGAAAGCGTACAGGAAAATTCGAAAGATTAAATAGTCAAGATTTTTTCCCATAATCATCCATCTACTAATGTCTCCACTGCTGGGGCACTATATAGCCTTCACTAAAGACATAATGACAAAGGTAGAGATCGCGACAAACTTCTAGTCCGCTCTGAAGTTGCTTCGCGCAAAAGTACAGTCGTAAACATATCGCGCTAATCTTCAAGTCCGCTCTGAACACTGCACAATTCAAAAGACCAATGCAAAAGACAGGTATATAAGTTCGACGAAGATTGTGTATACTATTGTACACCTGCGTGAAGTAAGTTCAGAGCGGACTAGAAGGTTGGCGCAATCTGTATTACCCATCACACTAGCACTGAGATCAGAGGATACTAAAGACTACAGATGCAGCCAGGCTTAACGGCTTAACGCCTTCTGAAGCACGTAGGCGCTTGACCTAATACATTTGCCTTCACAGTTGTCATTTTTAGACCTTTATTTTATATCGTCAGATAGGCAAATGCCTCTACCCCACCTGATATTAAGTGGTGATAAAGTTCAAACGCAAATATAGCTGGTATAGCAGTTATAAACTGCCACACCAACTATCCCACCTTGCCGGCCTGAAAAATTGCTTCTTCACGCCTCTCTTATAGGACCCCAGGTTTTGACAGGACAGGACCATTTTTGCTACGGGGTCTATCTCAAAATCGAAACTTGTTAAGAATTTAAATTTTGCTTTTAATGATATCCCAAATGTTGTATTTTAACAACAAATAATTAAAACACCGATTCATAATGTAGGTACTTTGTAAGTTATGGGTGTCGAAAACAACAAATGATTTTTCCTTCCGCAGTTTGTTGCGATGTCGAGCTCGAAAACGAACTATTTGAATTGGATAGGATATATTTAGTTATGTACTCGATTTCAAAATAAATAATTATATTTAAATAAAATATATATTTATGGGTGGCTCCCACACAAAAACCGTTGTATTGCTCGATATTATAATATAGTGTCTTATGTCAATGTTAAGCAAAAAATGGTTATGGAGAAAAAAAGCTGATTTATCATTATTATTATAATGTTGTATATATATAATTGTACGGAACCCTTCGTGCGAGAGTCCGACTCGCACTTGGCCGGTTTTTTCATTATGGTGTATCCACACAACCCCGCTGCTTTTGTTTGCCGGCGGTATTTCGCTTGCGGCTTTTTCTGGCGTAATATCTTCGTTTTATTAAGTGTTTTTTTTTGTGAATAATAATGTACAACAAAGCATTGACATTATAGTCCGACATGTTACAATCCTACGTATACCACTAACTGTGATGTGAGTCGACACACTACAGTGAAAATTACGTAATATAAAGTCAGCGGCACGACAGTCTAATAACCGGCAAGAAAGACGGCGACATAGCCGGCTGCATATGTGAATCCACCTTTAGACTGCAAGATGCAACCGCGTGTGAACCGCACGCGTGTGCGCCGCGCCGCGTTACGCAGTTGCATACTAAAATGAATAAGCCCAGACGCTTATCTACGCGGATGTTTGCTTATAGCAGACTAGATGTTGCCCGAGCGCGACTTCGTCTGTTTGTAATTAATTTCTATACCTATAACATTTTATTTTCGCGGAAAAAGTAGCACATCTAGGTACCTTACAGAAGGTTGAAGCTCTTTATGAAAATTCATGATAATCGGTTTAGGCGTGCAGGCGTAACAGACAAACACAGACATTTTCGCATTAATTAAAATATTTGTATGAATCAACATTACCTACCACTCACATATTCCGTAATGCTGCTACTACCCAATAAAGAGCGCGAATTCATCTTCGTGTATCCTAAGCTGTTGAATATTCTGTCCACGACTCCAGTTGATGTCAACAGGAATAATATGAGTGCGACTATGAATAGAGATATGAGACAGTCACAATTCCTTCCGACTGGAAACCCTCCACCGCTGCAAAGCAAGCATTTCAAACGAGCGGTCACTATGAACACCACACAGATCGGTACTAGCGATATTATCTGAAGTAGGAACGACATGAAGTTGTAAACAGTCTGCAGGACCATTCTGATTAAGTTCTCCGTCATAACGAGTATGGTCATGAGAATTCTGAACACCATTTGGAGCCCCGTTATTATGATTTGCGCAAGCGCTTGCACTGTACGACACATGCTTACTGATTACGTATGATCTTTGTTGTCTTCTACAATATTTATATTTTTGTAATATCTATGAGAAACTACATCGGGCCGGGCCAAATGGAAGCACTAAAAACCAAACTGAAAACACAATGCTGAAGAAAACGATTTCTTGTAACTGAATATGTTATTCGTTCTCAGTTTAAGTAGTTGTGCCCAGTTTTACATTATCGAGTATCATTAAAATAATGAAAATTGTTCCTATTTATCTTGTAAATAAATAAACAGGAAAATAGAAAACATTATTAGTGTAAAATAAACAATAATATTGATGACAGATAAACACAGAGTAGAGGTAAAACCATATACATACCAGTGTCACTTTCGTGCTTTGCCTCTGAACTTTGCCTGCTCTGATAAGTCAATCCATGGTCAATCTCCTACTACGTGGAGCTTTTAAAACCGTACAGAGCAGGAACATAACGATAGAAAATCATTCCGATATAAAACATATTATTCCTAACCTCTCCTAGTGCGTAGATGTACTACCACAGGATACTTCATAATTATTACTACTTAAAAAGACTGCGATGACTCTTATGAAAAAGGCAATAAAGTTAGAAAACAAAGAAAAAATATCGTAACTAATATGTTCGTAGGCCATAGTAGGTAACTAGTATCAAAGCATCTATGTATATATATAAAAATCTATTGCTGTTCGTTAGTCTCGCTAAAACTCGAGAACGGCTGAACGGATTTATCTTATCTTGGTCTTGAAATGTTCATGGAGATCTAGGGAAGGTTAGGAAGGAAAATATGGAAAAGTGCGAGGCGGATAGAAAAGATACGTTCGTCTTTATCATTTCTTCCAAATTATTGTAAGCAGTACGAAGTACGCTGGCTCAGCTAGTCTTATATATAATCATTAAATATACATGAGCTTGTTGGTAATGTGCTTCTGCTAGTATCAAATAAAGATATCCTTCTTGTACCTATATTGTAAGGAAATTTTGTTTCAAAATAAAACCAAACTTTTTCATTAGACACTTTATTGAAGTTAACACATCGCAGACAATTTTTATCGTCGTTAAATTAATAGATAAACTATATTTTTAGATTAGCCAACATTAGAAAGCGTATAATATTTGGTGCGCAGTGTTGAACTACTTCTACGTGCGCAAGCGCATGTAAACGTCAAAGTTAGAATGAAAATGGTAATTGTAAGTGCGATAAAAATGTTTAAAGCTTGAACAATTGACGCATCATCAGGTCGAAGTAGCAGTCGTTGTCGATGGACACGCTGATGCCGCTGTAGTAGTTCATGAATTCTTCCAAAGTTACCTGGAAGGGTAATATTTTCCTTTACAAGCTTGTAATTACCAAAAAATGTTTAGTACAGAAGGCTATCTACATACAAAGTGCGTTCGAGCAACGCACTCATAGACACCGCTTACAGACACGTTAACTTGGACCGCTTAGGACCAGTGCGAGCGCAATAATATATAAAAAACTATAATAACTATTCAGTGAACGGTTGTATGAATTCATCATTAAACGGTGAATTGTCGTCTTATCTTACTTTTACCCAATATAAAACGACGACCAACTTCTTTTTCTTCGTCTATTGGGCAACCTTTCGCTATAGGAGGGCCAGTCTTTTTTATATATATATATAGGTCCGACAAATGACTCCACCCCACCTGATGTTAAGTGACGATAAAGTCCAGACGTGAACATAGCTGGTACAGCAGTTCTAACTGCCACACCAGCCATCCCCAGCTTGCTGCTCTGCATGTTGCTTCTTCACGCCTCTTTTAAAGAATCCCAGGTTGTAAGAAGTAGGGAACACGTGAACGGACAGACGGAGCATTCCATTTACGGATAGAGCGACAAAGAAATGAGTGCAAATTTCATTGTACGCGTTGGAATTGTGAGCAGCAGTTAGACGGTGACAACGTAGGGCAGCGCGCGTGGTCCTCTGAAGGGAAGGGGAAGGTGGAATAAGAGAGAATAAGTCTTCAGAACACTCGCCTTGGTACTGAGGAGCTCTAGCCAGAATGGATAGAACCTGGGGACGTGGCTATTAATTAAAACAACTTGACGATGGTTATTATTTTATATTAGATTTCAGGCGAATATAATTATTTTTATCTAACTACGAGAGGTTTGCTTGGTGCCTGAAGATCTTCTCTTGAATGGAACCTTCTATCAAAAGACAGACGATTCCTTATTTCAAATCTTAAAATCATGACATTAACTTTTTAATATAACTGCCAACCGTAGGCATTGCAAAAGCAAAGAGTTTAAACAAGGAGGCTGCAACGACACGGACGTTACAGTACAGACGATAGAACGCGCTTAGTGACGCCACCTCACGGCGTAATTGAAGCGGCTGTTAGTCACCTCCTCATCGCCCACGATGCGGATCGTCAATTGTAAGTATCAGTAAGGGCCGCACGTAATATTTGAAATAAAACGCATATCTACGTTTTTAGTCATATATTCATACAATCATGTCTATTTAAATTGAATTACTATCATCACGAAAGACGGCGAAAATCCGTGGAAAGGTAATTCCACATGTACACGGACATAGGCGAAGGCTTATGTCCAGCAGTGGAATGACTATACCAACATAGGAGTTACAACTAATGAAATTTTTGCGGCTGCATTTGACTTGCAAGTCTTTTAACGTCTGCTTTCATTTTAGTCGTTGACACGCGCAGTGTCGCATCCGAACGTTTATTTGTTAATCGCAAATAATTCTTATTTTTACGATAATCTAAAATTGATAAAGTCTGCTCACAAAAATGTACTTACTACCAAAACATAGTGATTATCTGCTGAGCAAACTTTTTCAATTCCTTGAAGTTTTTAGAATTTAAACCTCGAATACTCTCACAGCCCAGCATCATGCACTTTGGCACTTTTGCTTCGCTATTTTATCTTGCAGACCTGAGGTAGATTATCAAAAAGTATTGGACACGTATTTTTTCTTTATTCATATAATCCAAACATTACAGAGATATATTGCTTTTTAAATGTTGCATGACATCACGTCTTGTTACAAATTTTACTTGGAAGTGATGTCACGAGCCCTCAGCAGTACCAAACTTTGACACGCTTTATCTCTGTTATTTATTGTTTTTGGTTGATTGACAAAAGAACAATAAGTGACAGTTATTTTTTGATAATCTTACTAATGGACTTAATAGAATTACCTTTACCCCGTCAATTGTGTCGATTCTGGCACGACTCTCTAAACCTAAACTTTTCAACAGGGTATCGTTGTCATACTCTATACCAAATGAAAAGGAGAGACTGATGTTAAATTTCAACTGGTAAATGTTTTAACTTAAAATCTAAACATCGAGCAGTTACGTGCTTAAAAAATAAAAATTATAACTATAATTACTGTTTCTTCTTTCAAGTGTCTAATACTTGTAAAGGTATTCAATTGACATTGTGGGTTGCCTACAATGCGTAGAGATGGCGTTGCCTTGCAGCTTAAGAAATGCTAGAAAGAATTCGACACGGCCATCAGGGCCGCGGTAGCATAATGGTCAGTGCGTTCGCACGGATAGCGAAGGGTCCGGGTTCGAGTCCCATCTGGTGCCGCGTGAATTTTTTTCTAGAAAATTTTCTTCAGATTTAAACATCTAGCAGTTAAATGCATAAAAATATATAAATAAATATTGCTTTCTTGGCCTCTTCTTTTAGTTTTAAGTTAGTTTAGCCTTACCTTTCCGTCTACTACGCCATCAGCCTCGAAGTTGGCGAGAAATCTGTTCATGACGGTGTCCGCAGTCTCTTCACCGCTCATGTATCTAATACGATAATTAAATTACAATTCGACAGTGAAAAAGCAAAAACGCTCATACGCCACTTTGGTGTTGCTTGAAAATTAACTTAATTTCAGTTTATATATTTTATTAAGCATATTACTGCTCGTTGTTTAAATCTAAAGAAAACATTACTAGAAAAAACTTATGTTTTCTTTAATTTCAATTTTTATTTAATATTAATTTTTAAGCAGCACCAAAGTGGCGTATAAGTGATTTTGTTTTTCCACTCTCGAAATATTGTAGCTCTACCATGAGTTGTTATAGTAATCGCTCACGTATTAACTATATATTGAACGAACAATATATAGTTAATACGTTTCGATGCCATGTGTCAATAATGCCTCAATTACACTTGGTCGTTAGCCCGTATTCGGGTGCACTTAAGATATTACTCGAATTCGGGCACCCGAAGCAATATTTATACTGAAATAAGGGCTGCAAGACCAAACAAAAACTACGCGAATACGGGCGTACTCGACTCCATTCATTTACACATTTAGTCGTTTATTTGTTTCTTAAGTTTTCACGCACATCACCCATTAAATAAAACAAGTTTCAACTGGTTATATGCACTGATTTTATTTATATATTGTCGTTTCGCAGCCTTTGCAGGAATGCGTCGTCAGAATAATGATTTTTATTTACTTTGTCGTTCAAAAGACTTTTATTGAGCGTTCGGATATTTCATCGGAAGATTTTTAAAACTTTATTATCTATGCTTGAATTTATTAGCTAATTTAATTGTTGAAATACTTCATTTATTCTTTTTTATAATTTTGATTGTTTATTTATTTGACCCTAATTACTATTAAGTATCACCGGTTCCAAAATTGGGAGACCAAACTCAGAGAGGCTTTCTGTCTTCTTCTTATGTTAAATCATGTAAACAAACAGAACTAACAGTATATGTTGGTCTTGCAGTGTGTGCTCGGGGTTGGGATTTTATCTGTTGTATAATGGGTTTCCAAGCTGGTGGTATATACCAACCGCCTTCCCTATTGATACTTTACCGACTTAGTCGTTTACCCGAATTCCATTGGCACTCGTATTCGGGCTAACTAACAAGTGTAAACACGACATGAGGGTGTTTAGGAAAATTTCCATCACCGGTTGGCGCCACTGTGACATGAGATCTTTTATATGAATTTTTTGGCGCGAATTAATCGAACGAGTTTAAATTGATCCATAGACTATGACGACATACGTGATCATGGAGGTTAGAGAGAAGGAGAACGATCGCTATGTGATAAAGCATTAACCCGCCTGTCCCTGAAAATTGGTCGAATTTATAGTTCATTTTTCAGCCACCAGCCGCGGGTTCGAGTCCCGTCTGCTGCCTGGTCCGCGTGGAATTTTTTCTTGTTATATTTTCTTAAGATTGAAGTTAGTTGAATAATGTACAAATTTTCTTCACGGCATTGGTCATTTCTAATTAGCGCACAATAGCCCGCTTTTATTGAGACAACTTAGCGATCGTAGCGCCTCAATTATTTTGTCTATATTTCTGGGACACTATTTTCTACATCAATCGTTCTCCTTCTCTCTAACCTTTATGTAATTGACAAATGAGTAGAACTTTCGTCTCAGTGCTGCCACCAATATACGTATTCTGCTAAGATAAAGTAGTAATCGTGTGTCAACGACATTTCAATAATGTTGATTTTTAATACAGTTATTGTAACTAAAACACAAAATAGCAAACTTATTTGGTTTCTCATTTGTTAAACTTTTCTATATGCGTTTGATATTTTATGTTATCGTAACAGGATTTGTGACAATAATCGATACTATTGAACAACGTCTAAATTATTTATTAACTACGTATAAACAAAACAAAATGTTGTATTTAATTTTATGTTCTTACCTATTTTGTTTATTTATTTTGAATTTTATCAAAGTTTCTATTAGGGCCTTATAGGGACCACTTGTAGCAATTTTGCTAAGAATGACAAATTTTAAAATGTAGATTTCAAAACTTGTAAATTTTATGGGTTAAGTCTAGTTTTGGTTAAATTGAGGTTTAGCAAATTTGCTGCAAGTATACCTAAAGCCAGGATTAAATAAGGATGATGATATAATGATACCTAGTATAATATTTACCTTGGGCTAGCGTTGACAGAGTAGACTCCGCGTATTTCGTCGATAGTGATATGTCCATCATTTAACTTGTCCAGCTTTCTGAACGCTTGCTCCACTATGGAGCGACGGGATTCCGACATTGGGGGCTGTAGATACCAGTATAAAGAAATATTCAATCGATTAAACGAAATATTAAGCCGGGTCTCCAGCAAAAGTTTTTTTGCAAACATTCAACAAAAACACATATACAAAACTTTGTTTCTGAAACATGTTTCGCAACTCACGTCATCTACTGCTCACGTGGCAGTCGTACACAAAATATAGAGTGCTATAAATAAAACAAGTTTCAGCTTTATAGATGCACTGATGTATTTATTTATTGACGTTTTGCATCCTGTAAAAAATCCTGTAACTTGTTTTATTTAATGAGTGGTGTGCGTGAAAACCTTAAAAACAAATATACAGGGGCTATGTTCAAAAACTACGATCCAGGTGCAACAAATGACAAAGGAGAATGGTCATTTTACTTTGGGAGTTGGGCTAAGTTTTTTTCATTGCGTCTTATTGGAATAAGTGTACAACAATAGGGAATCAGGTGTATATTGCGTAGGAAAAATATCATTAGAAACTTAAGTAGTGGTTTAAAGAAAATATTAAATTACGTAAGCATTTTAAGGTTATGTCATATTTAGATTCGATTAAATTCGATATTTATACCATACTTAATTATTACTAGGTATACTACTTTAAACTGTATTTAATTAGGTTGTGACCTTTTGTCTTCTATTTTGGACTGGGAGTGAAACAAAAATTGAATGCACTTCGTAAAATCTTATCAACGGGCAGCGTATATTTGTAAACTGTTGCGTTGGTGAGCTGCTATCTATCTCTATTTATTCCAAACATCTCAGATTCAATAAATGTAGCGTTGTTGAGGTGCGGTTATATTAGTGCTATTTATACTTATTCTCTTTACGCTCAAGCTGCACCTTTGATGCTCTGTTAACCCAACAATGGATATAATATTATTTAAGGTTTAGGAATCAAAAATAAATAAGACAAAATATTTTAATAATGATAATCATTTATTGATAACACATTTATCCAAATCGACATTATTAATGTGATATTTTTATTTTATATTTTTGGGGTTATGCCGTATCCAGTGGAACTGTAGTGACTTCGCCTAAAATATCTTTTGTATCTCCCCACCATGTCCTGTTGAGTTTGAAATATCCAGTTAAAGCTCTGCTAAGTTCAATTAACACAGCAGTTTATACATTAAGCGTGCTCTAATCCTGGTTTATATATTGCCTTTTTTTAAAAAAGAATTGACTTATATACCTTCTTAAAATACCTCATCTAAAAATGTAGCTGGAGCATGTGTATCGTTAAATCGCCCCCAGTTTAATATCATTTGGTAAGATTGGATTACCAAACAATCCCTCCGGGATTATTTTATTTCTGCTGGCCACTTGCTCCACATTTACAAAGTTACATGACCAAAGCCCAAATGTCTTGACACAAAATCTTCAACTAAACAATTTCTAGCTATATTCATTTTGCTCTCCAAGGTCCTACGAGACATTTGAAAGAGGGAACTTAATCGTTCATTGCTGTCCCCAGTTCTTAACTTGACTATGTAAATACAGAGTGCTAAACGGGGATTTTTGACACTCTGTAATAAGCTTGGTACACATGCCAAGAGTTCATCAAACTGTTCAGCATTCATTCCCAGCCAATAATGGCATAAGAAAGGAGCCATTGCAGAAATATTTTCAAAGTCGAAACAATGGGAAACTGCTCTCTGCATTATATTCAAAATGGCATCAAACTGTACACCAGTAAAATCTTGCAGATTTGATGTTAAATCACTCCAACGCCCATTATTCAAGTGATGTTGACATATTCTACAACATGTGGGAACATAGAATTTATTATGTATTAATAACATTTCTCTTATTACTCTGGGTACTAATAAACATTGTTGTTCCCGGCATCCTGAAAACAGACAACTCGATGAAGTGGCTTCAGCACGCTTATATACTGATGACTGTATCTTAGGTATAACAGGTCTTGAGCTCTGAACAGGTAATAGACCAGCGGGAAATGGTGGTGGTACTGGGATCACTGGTACAGACTCTGTTGGTTCTACATCAATTTGTTCAATTGATGACCGATTCGCATCATGTAACTGTTGCCTTTGCACTTCCCTATTAGGTGCTTGCCAACAGGCAGCACAAACTCTTGAAATTCTTGACACCTATAAAAAAGATAAGTGAACTTGAATTTAATGAAAAACCATCTACAACTATTTTATGCAATAGAAATATATTTCTTATAATAATAATAATAAATCATTTAACTGACAAGATATGGTAAATTATACAGATCTCAAAAATATAACCAACATGACCTGTCGCTTTTATCAACATGCAAATACTTATAGGTAGTTGCAGTATTATCCAGAACTCAATCTTTAAAAACTATATATATTATTTATATACCATAGTCATGATTGAGTTAGTTATTATATAATCAATTTCATTAATATACTACATGACAATTGTGCAATGTAAAAAAAAATGTCAGTCATGTTTCAGTTAGTATTGAAATCAATTTAAATAAATTATTATTAATATAACATTTCAATCATGCAATGCAATAATAATAATAATGTCACAATCATGTTTTAATTAGCATTGAAATCAATTTTAATAATTTATTATTGATAATAATATCTTATACCATACCTGATGTGCTGGAGTCCATCTAAGAATAATATTTCTTTCTGGACAGTGTAGTGAAACCCTGTACGATCGACTTCTTAATATGGATTTTCCACAACAGAATCAGGTGCGATCCATGAGCTTAAAACATTAAGCATTGAATTGGATAGCATGTCCAAAGAATGTACTGGCTGTCGTCGTGGCACTGTTAACAGTTAATACAACGTCGTTGCATACTGCCTGCGTTTTCTTGTGTAACACCAGATGCCATTGTAAACAAAAATAATTACAATGAACTAAGAGTCCAAATATCTCTGTTAGAATCACTAAAGGTAACTTAACACTAAATCAACGAGTCCAATGCTCTCTTTCCCAAAAACAGTTATTAACGGAGGATTATCAACTCAACATTAAAACTATTCTGCCACAATAGACCACTGAAAACACAAATTCAATTCAAAATTGAAAACTGCACCGGAACAAACAACAAACACGTTGACAACAAGTTGACAGCTACCTACTTCACTTGCCTATGGTATATATTTCGATTTGATTCTATAGGAATCGATTCCTACACAATCGATTAATAAATGTTTTATTTTTCAATGCAAATGCTTAAAATGTTCAAACCATGAGTTAATTTATATATGATTAAGTAATTATATATAACATAACTGATAATTTAAACAAAAATATATTCCCTTTTTTAATCTAAGATGTGAATATGTAGAGTACACATATAAAAGTTTTTGTATGCGATCTACTGTTTGATGAACAAAATAGTCCGCAGACAAAAAATCCTCTTTTGCGCCGCCCATTAAGTTCCTTTTAGTTTTTAGATGCAATGAAAGAGAGCAATCCCTGGTAGGTACAGTGACATTGTCACAACACAGGTCTTACAAATGATAACTTTATGAATTTAATGTTATTTATCATGATATAATATTGGTAAAAATGCTCGTATCCATCATACAAACATTTGCCTCACCGGAATTCGAAACCAGGCCCTCTGAATAGGCGATTTGGGGAAAATAATCTATCCATCGATCCATACAAAAATCAAACAACTCGCATCGAAGACCTCAAAATAAAAAATGACTACGAATTAACGAATGATCATTATTTCGTAGTCATTTACGGTGTTTGGTAAAAATGTTTCAGGCTATTTACAATTGTTCTATGCTTTCAATTATAATAAACGTTTTATTTTTTCTTTTTGAAGTGAAACTTCTTTACGCACTCTTGACTTGGGGAGTAAGCTAGCGAACGTAGTGTGATCGGGCGAGGCGAACGGGAGTTGAGTGGGGGATGTAAGCATGAGAAAGCAGTGCGCGTGCACATTTTCTTTCTCTCTTCCTCTCATAGCCAAATACGTTCCGTATATCTAAGCACAGTGCAAGCCTTTTGTCTGTATCACAGTGTAGGAGCAAGAGCGCGCGCACGCATTTTCTTTCTCTTTTTCTCTTACAGCTAGTAAATGAAAGAAGTTTCACTTCAGTTGTGTAGTCATAAGCACACTCGTTTTTTATGTTAAGAATATTTAAATAAAGAAATATAATCGATTTTTTTTTCTACGATCGATAGTATCGACCAGGTGATACAACTTTTATCTATGGTTATTGGTTATTTACTCAGTTTAATAGCCATTTATTTATTATTTTAAATATCCGCATAATATTTACATAATAAACACACATATGAAATGATAATTCAGAAGAAGATTTTTGATACATAAATGCGTCAAGCGCAATCTAGGCGGATTTGCCCATTCTCCTTTGACAAAAGTTTCGTACATTTTTGTCAAAATTGAAACATCACAGTGAAAAGTTGTACTCGGAGCGTTGCTTTGGAACGGAGCACGAGTTGTCAAGGGGCAAAACGGGGGTAGGGCAAAACACGCGCTGGAGACACCCGTCTTAAATCCAGCATTATTGCTCAGTTTAATTTCACATCATCATCATCATCATCATCAGCCTCTTGATGTCCCCATTGCTGGGGTCCAGGCCTTCCCTATGGATGGAATAGGGAGATTGGGCCACGACCCACCACGCGGGCCCAGTGCGGACTGGCGGGTGCTAACGACTGCAGATGCAGCCGGGACCAACAGCTTAACGTGCCTTCTGAAGCACGGAGGAACTCGAGATAGAAATTTTTGATCACCCATCCAATGACCGACCACTGCGAAAGTTGCTTAACTACAACGATCGCAGCCGAACGCGCTAACCACCTGCGCCATCGACCTCCGCAATTTCACATTATAGGGCTTAAAAATACAACATCCTGAGAATTTTAAATTCTGGTTTTCAACTAAATAAAGAGTTTTGGAAATTGTGGTGAAACAACATTTTAGGAATTTAGCCTAACGTTTCCAAAGGTATTCAAAAATATTTTTAATACTCGCATTACATAGCCTAGCACTAAAGTAAGCACTGTAAGGCTTGTATTATGGAATGCTGACATGCTAGGGTAACAGATAGAATTACATTAATAATAGATAATATATTACGCATGATTTAATATAAACATTCAAAATATTTCTACTCTCACACCAATTATTCCAGCAACATTGCAAACACTGTAAGGAAGGCTTGCGTTATTGGCATCCATACTAGTATAACGGATAAAAATACATTTAATGATATATTACTAAGTATATTTTTGTCTAGAAATATATACAAAAACAGACATAGACTAAGGTAAAAATGATCATATTCATCATACAAACATGACCACCGGGTGGGGTGATCACCGGGATTCGAACTTGGGAGCTTTAGGTAGGCGACACCTTGAAAACCGGCCTACATACCACTAAAACCACGGAGATCTAAAGAGCGCAGCCAAGTTAAGACTTACTAGTGCCCGCGACTTCGTCTGTGTGGAATAATTGGTTTGGTACACACTTCCACACCCCTTCTTTCACACCCACCCCTTCCCTTTAAGGGTAAACTCTAGGATAAAAATTATCCTATGTCCTTTCCTGGGACTCAAACTATCTCCTTACCAAATTTCATCTTAAACGTTTAAGCGTAACAGGTATTCATATTCATTTATTGTTTTCTTGGTATTTACATGCTATTACAAAATATATATAATACTAGCTGACCCAGCGAACTTCGTACCGCCTTAAAAAAATAGGGGTTGGTGGTAGAAGGGTGAAAATTTAGGCTTATATGTATTTACTAATGCTGTATCATAAAAATATTAAAAAAAAATATCTAAAATGAAAAAAAAATTTAGGGGTGGATTACCCTTAACATTTAGGGGGGTGAAAAATAGATTACATCCGATTCTCAGACCTACTGAATATGCATATAAAATTTCACGAAAATCGGTCGAGACGTTTCGGAGGAGTTTAACCACAAACACCGCGACACGAGAATTTTATATATTAGATTATTCTAAACAAGAACCCAGTTAGGGTATTGCAATAATGCTAAAGTAAATAGGTAGATCTGCAGTCATAATTATAAAACGTTCCAATATAAATAATTTTCAATCTTGTATAACAACAAGGTAACAGAAAGACAGGCGGACACGCTATCGCATTTATAATATTAGTATGAATTTTCACTACTTATGCCCTTATGGCTTTGTATGTATGTGCCAAAGAAATTCAAAGGAGTAAGTGGTTATCGGGTCAGGTCTGCTGCGATCGATTCACACAATTAACGGGTTTATACTATCTCGAGCCCCTCCGTACTTCGCACTGGATCCACGTTGTAATGGAACAAGACAAAATCTCCCTATTCTATCCATAGGGAAGTCATATGCTTCAGGCTGTAGGGGAGGGGTATTAATAGGCTGATAATGATGACTTGTGTCGTGACAATAACACATGATTATGATAAAGCATAAAAAAGATCCATACTGTTTTACTTACACGAATTTGCCTGATGAATTCATCCAAGCTCATGGTCCCGCTGTTGTCAGTGTCAAACATCATGAACAAGTCTTCGGCTTCCTGAAAACGTCATTAGAAGACTCATTATTGTATAAGACTCGTTGTGTATAAAGCGGCACTAGAATAAGGGCTATTTGCATTTGCACCAACATTTCAGTCTGCAATGAAACCTGGTTATCCCATCATTTCATCTTTATCAATTTTTTAAAGTCATGCAGAGCTAGAGCATCTTTTAAATTTAATTTAAGATTTTTGGTGCAAGTGGGCCTTAGGTCATGCATGATATGAAGAAAATAGTTAAAAGAAATATATGGATATGGAAAAATCGTTATAAGATTAAATAATGTCATCCGAAATGACTTTGTAAGGAAAGAAAACGTGCTGAATTGAAATTCGTATAAATTGATACAATAACAATACTCCTATCTGCAGATAAGGAGTGCATACAAATGTCTGAAGATAACGAGTGCGTTCTTCACCTTGAAACAAAATTTCAAAACCGGTTGATTTTAAACCACATGTTGTTTTCGGATTTAACTCCTCAACGCAATTATCAGATTCAAATCACCCAGTTCAGTCTGCGATCGTAGAAGTTATGCCACTTTTGGAATGATCGGTCATAGGATGGGTGAATAAAAAAATATAATCTCGAACTTCTCCGTGCTTCGAGGTTCAGATATTGAATTATTTAAAGAATAATCATGAAAAGTTCATTTTACATGTGCTACTATTTTTAGAAAATGTCTCAGTTGTCATGATGGAAGGAGGAATCTAAATGAAAATAATTATTCGTGAATAAGACAATCTATTGAAATCTCTAAGTTTAGTAAAAATTGTTTGTGTTTAAAGGCTAATAAAGTACAACAAAGTTTTGGATTGCCCCTTTGGATAAGCGTTTTGTGGCTTTTCAAGATTCAGCTGTTTGTTAATATAAATTTCATTCACCTTTTCGTCAAGTTCCAAACCACTTTCTTTGAGCTTTTCTACAAATTCTTCCTTATGCAACTGATTGCTGTCATCAACGTCTATTTTTCTGAGGAACCTGGAAATATAAAAATTACAGATCAAGGTTTTCTCTTAAAATCTCGATTAGTAATTATGTAGAAATTGTATTTATTACATGCAGTCTAAGAGTCAGTTCACACCAAGAAGCGACGAGGCGCAGACTTTTTGACAAATTTTAAATTGGATCATCGATCGCAGACTACATGACACCCTAGCCCTACCCGAGCTCTTTTGCATCAGGTCTTGTTCTAAGCAGGCTTGAGTGCTAGCAGTGGGAAACAATAATTAAATTTAAGAACCACCTATGTTGCTAATGGCGCTGCAGACACAAATTCTCCAGAGAATCAGTCGCAGACTAAAGAGCGCTTGAGCTTTTCTACATCAGCTTTTCATAAACGACATTCTTGGAGTTATAATGTAAACTGACAATCCTTCAGCACTGCTCACCCGGAAAGCACTCTAAGGACCGAGGTTCCCAGAATGCGGGCGGGCGGTTTGGGCTGAACAGTACCTACTGGCCACGCACCAGCCAATAATAACATAACAAAAACCTAAAGTTCAAAGTTTATAGCGTTTGTGAAGTTAGTAGCGAGCGCAACTATGCGTAGGTTTCAGTTCAGTGACATTCAGTGCGCGCCTACATTACCCTACAGTTCGTTTCCTGCGCCGCGACTTCCGCTATAACTTCACAGCCATAATTAGATTCGAATCTCACTATACCTGCCAGGTATTTTCAGTTTCTCCAGCGGGTCCGTCGCCGATTGTATGATGCGCGCCTACGTCACCCTAGTCCGTTTGTAGCGTCGCAACTTGCGCTAACTTCACAGCCGTCATTAAGTTTGAATCGCACTATACCTGCCAAGCCGCATGATGCCACAGGCACCGCGTGAGAGGCACAGCAGTCGCAGTTTCTCCAGCGGGTCCGTTGCGTTCTGCATGGCGCGCGCGCTCTTCTGCATCAGCTCCTCCTCCTGCAGCGATATCGCCGACATCGGTCGATGCCAGGCAACTGTAAATTTGTAAAACAATCAATAGTGCATTTAAAAATGCGCCGAATTTTCAACGACCTACTACATAACTGTAGTTTCGAAGTTTAGGTGTTCTGATCACTATTGGTTCAGATCAACTGTTTAAACCCGAAAAATGACAAATCTCACGGAGGTATAACACCTTTGTGCATATAGACCTGACTTATGTAAGCTACGCTTGACAATATTATCGGGGCGGGCGAGATCAGCTCTAGCGACCTAATTCTCTGCAGGAACATAGTACTACAGACTTTTTTATTTAGCTTCTGATGGTGCAATGGAGAACTCTTCCCAAGACATGTCTCAATACATTATAATATGCTTTTGCCAACGCCTTTTGTGTATCGTCTTTTCATGCTCTCCCAACCCCGTTAAGGCCACACTACAACGATCCTGGTTTAAAGCCTAGCTTACAGATAAGCTAGGAACAATGCAACTCATCTCCGCATAGCCTGCAGTGTCCAGCCCAAATGCGAAAACATACCTACAATATCCAATGGATGTATTCACTATGGTTAGCCACTAAGCGAGTAGGTGAGCTCTTAGCGACAAGCGAAGTTGGCCTTAACCAGAAGTTATAGTGGAAGGTAGGAATGTGGGGTTAATTTTTTTTAAAGTTAAATTGCATTACATCGTAGCCACCACCATTATTTTTCAGCAAGTCCTATTACATGTTTAATTGTTACTAAATAATTCAGACATTATCGACAGGCATAGGTTATTCTTGTTCGTTGTAGAGTAGTAAGCTCGCCTACTACGCGGGCGGCCCGGATTCGATTCCCAGCAGAAGTAGGAATTTTTTGCACTTTTTATTAGCAGCAGTAACACTAACTTCGAATAATTTTCCGATTTTTTTTAAGTTAAATGCCTACAGTCCGAAAAAAATGGGGCGATGTAAAACACTAACGCCCTTATTTATAAACGAGGAACAAGCTTAGACTAGTTACACCGTGTTTTTTTCATATCACTCAAATGCCATTTTCCATTCGATGAACATAAACGAAACGTGGTGTAAGTAATCCAAGCATAGTCTTCGTTTATTAATAAGGACTTAAAAGTTTTGCTTGCATCGTGGTTTCGTTAAAACACACTAATTTATTAAAATTTTCATCAATACAAAAAACCATTTGTAAGTAACTACTTATAAATGGTTTTTGTATTGATGTCAGAAAATGTTTACCAGTTTTGAAATTAGATTCCAAATCACAGTTTTTTCACTTAAGTCTAAAATGCCATATCAAGTAACTTATTACCTTTCAAAAGTTATTAGGGGGCGTCCATAAATTACGTGAGATATTTAAGGGGAGGAGGGGGTCCAGTCAAATCTCATCTAATCTTACGTTGGAGAGAGGGGGGGTGTCGGCAAATATCACGCAATTTTTTTTTTACAGTATTATATTGTTATCTATTCAGTATTATATTGTTAAATTTTTATTACACTTATAACTCTCAGCAATATTGATTACTAGTCTTAACTAGTCGTAAATAAAAGCACGAAGCATTTTTTTCTTCTTTTTACAATAACAATCCAACGCGTTTACGAAAGAAACCCACATTTTGAAAAATCTCACGTGAGATTGGGGGATAGGGGAGGGGGTTGAATAAAATCCCACGACATCTCACCAGGGGGGAGGGAGGGACAGAAAATCCAAAAAACACCTCACGTAATTTATAGACGCCCCCTTATGCAAAATGACGCATCGGGAAACACAAATAAATATATATATTACTTTTTGATATTGAAACTCATTTCTTTATTTGTTGAAATGAAATTTATAAAAAATGATTGCTTGAACAAGAGCAAAATATTCATAACAAAATAAAATGGCAAGTTTGACCCTGGAGTACGGGCTGAAATAATATATCTCTTCGAAGATGGACATAGTATTAGTGCTATATAACAAGAACTCAATATATTGCGATTCACTGTGAGGTTTTGGATCCGGCGTCACGGCGAAGAATGGCAATTAACAGATCATAGAAACTATTCTGTGACATATGGTTATAATAATGGTATCCCAAAATTTATATTTGTTGTTGACAACACTGGCACTTGGTTGCAGCATATTTTTGTATCACCATAAAAGGTGTGCTTCTTAATAAAATACCAAATTAAATCAAACACATCTTTTATTAATATTGTACATGGTGTCAGGTGAAGAAGAACCTAAAAACAATTAAAGTGACTGTGTGTCAATTTTTAAAGTGACTGAGTGTCGAATAAGAATAATATTTTTTTTTAATTCAAACATGGAGGGCCTAAAGCCACCAAGAGGCCTTGTACTTTCGGGCCCAAATCAAAATTTTGGAAAGTTTGTTCAACTTTTCCAAATATACATCAGTGCATCAGGACTGGAAACGTGCAGTGAAAAAAGAAAAATTGCAATATTTCTAAATGGCGCTGGAGAGGAAGCGGTGGAGGTTTATAATACGTTTCCGAAACAAGAAGATGAAACCTTACAAAGTCTTGTAGATAAGTTTCGAAATTATGTGGAACCTAGGAAAAGTTTGATGTTAAACACGTATGAGTTTCTCAAAATAAGACAATATGAAGAGGAGACTGTAGATCACTTTGTAACAAGATTGAAAGTGGGGGCAGCGGCCTGTGAGTTGGAGAATGTGCAGGACAGACTCATAACAATGATGATCTTGATAGGTATCAGAGAAAAACAAGTTAAAGAATGTCTTCTACAAGAAGTGGATTTAAATTTGGACAAGGCAATAAATATAGCAAGACAAATAGAAAAAGGAAAACAACAAATGGATAAAATGGAGACTAATGAAAATGCTGTGCTAGTAATAAAGAAAGAACCTAACTCTCTGATTCAAAAAATGTATAAATGTAACAGGTGTGGAAGAGAACATGCAATAAGAGCATGTCCCGCTTATGGAAAAAAGTGTGCTAGTTGTGGAAAGTACAATCATTTTGCAGCACAATGTAGAAGTAAGAAGGATTCTCGTCAGGCAAGAAAGGTGATGACTATAGAAGAAAGAGAAGAAAGTGAAGATGATGACGTTGTGTTCAGGTACGAGATTGACAAGGTTAATGCATTATTAAGTGAAAAAAATAACCAGTGGACAGAAAATATTGATGTACAGGGGGAGGTAGTCTCTTTTAAACTGGACACAGGAGCTGAATGCAATATTTTACCGCTATCTTTGTGTAATAGAATAATTAGTAGTAAATTTTTACAAAATAGCTATAAACTCTTGGTAGTATATAATGGACAAAAAATTAAACCGTCAGGGGAAATTGAACTCAGCTGTTCAGTTAGAAATCATGAAACTAAAATTAACTTTACTGTTGTAGATTTACCAGTACAGCCAATTTTAGGGTTAAATGAATGTGTTCGTTTAAATTTAATAAGGAAAGTAGATACGCTTCATTGTTATAAAAGAGATAATAAAGAAAAACAGTTGTTTATCAATAAAAATAAGGATGTTTTTACAGGGTTAGGAAATATTGGTTCTTATAAAATAAAATTGACAGATAACGCAGAGCCTGTTGTAAAACCCATTCGAAGAATTCCTGAAAAAGTTAAGGGTAGGTTAAAAGACACTTTAGGTAGATATGAAAGCTTAGGAGTCATTGAAAAAGTAGAAAGTCCCACGGAATGGTTAAATAATTTGGTTATAGTAGAAAAGCCAGATGGCTCATTAAGGCTATGTTTAGATCCTAAGGAACTTAATAAATGTATTAAGCGGGAAAGATACCAAATACCATCAGCAGAGGAAATTTATAACAGTTTATCAGGGAATGAAGTTTTTACAGTACTAGACTTAAAAGATGGATTTTTTCAGATAAATCTGGATGATCCTGACAAATGCTGCAGTTTTGGCACACCATATGGCAGGTATCGTTTTTTAAGGCTTCCATTTGGAATATCTTCTGCACCAGAGATAATGCAAAAAATTAATTCACAAATATTTGATAACATAGAAGGTGTTCATGTATATTATGATGATGTGATTATAGGCAGTAAAAATTAAGAACATGATAAAATCTTACAGAAAGTCATAGATAGAGCAAGAAAATACAATCTAAAGTTTAATGAAAATAAAATACAGTATAAGTCAAGTTATGTAAAATATGTAGGATTAATTGTATCTAAGTCAGGTATACAAGTAGATCCAGAGCATATAAAATCTATCACCAAACTAACAGCACCTAAGAATATAAAAGAGTTGCAAAAGTTTTTAGGTATGACAAATTATGTAAGTAAGTTTATACCGGAGTACTCCAAAATAACAGAACCACTTCGTTGTTTACTTAAAAAGGATGTTGAGTGGGTCTGGAGTCTTGAACAAGCAAAAGCATTTTGTGAATTAAAAAATAGGTTAACGTGTGCACCAACATTAGCAATTTTGGTAAAGGATGGTGCAGTTGTACTACAAACTGATAGTTCAAAGGATGCTCTAGGGGCTTGCCTACTGCAAAAGGGTAAACCTGTCTCATTTTATTCCAGAAGTTACACAGATTGCCAAAAAAGATGGGCTCCAATAGAAAAGGAGTTATTTGCCATGTGCGCTGCTTTAGAAAAATATCATCAGTTTGTCTATGGTAGAAAAATTATCATAGAAACAGATCATAAACCTTTGGTTGGGATTGTTAACAAAGATATTAATAAAATAAGTTCTAGGTTACAGAGAATGGTACTAAAGTTACTAAAATATGATATTGATGTTAAATATGTACCTGGAAGTAAAATGTATATAGCAGATTTTTTGTCTAGAAATTATATCAAAGATAATGCAGAAATAGATCATAGTTTGAAAGAATTAATTCATAGTGTTGAAACGGAAACTGTGCATAGTTGTGAAAATGATTTGTCAGTGTCAGATAGGAGATTGTTACAGTTAAAAAATGAGACAAATAATGATAATGTGTTAAAGCAGTGTATAAGTTGGTATAAAACAGAATGGCCAAAAAATGATAAAAATATAAGTGTAAAAGAGTTAAAAGT